TCTTTTTGTCAATCAACAGGCACTTGAACAGGTTAACAGGCCTGAGCAGATGCAGGCTGCATTCATTGAAAAAATAATGCCAACCCCTGATTGAACATTTTATTTTATTATAAAATGCCGCTTCTTGCCTTTGTTAAAGCGTATGCATTGCCCCTTGACTCTGCTCCCCTAATGTAGCTGGTAGTATGATACTCATTGAGAGATGATGATAAGAGGGTTGTTACAGGAAGGGAAGACAAAGGATTCATAGGGGAAAATTACGGGGAGATAGAGGACCAAAAAACAGAGATAAAATAAAGTGGATGTCACTGATCTGGGTTTTCAATGTCCTTGGAAAACAGTGAATTCCCTAATGAAAGCATTCAGCTAGAGAGACCACCGTTGGAGACGTCTGTGAGGTTTTAAGCCTGAACAATTCAAAGATCATATTTCCAATGACAGAATGAGAAATCACATGAATATGTCTCTGCATTGTAGTGAGTCTCTGACAGCTCCGTACTGCTTCAGCCCACCTAATAACAAGGTGTGGGAAAGATTTATTTAACCTTTATTCCTGCAGCAATTTACTGGGTGTGAATGCCTTTTTTCTGATGTATGGTGCTGACTGGTGCAAACACATTGTTATAGTGAAGGTCACAGGGCAACACTGATAGCACAAGTATTACAAAATGACCACTGATCCTTTTCTCAAAGGATGAGCAGGGTTAGGAGGTAAAGGCTTTACACGTCAGAATTTCCCAGAGCACACTTTGACCTTGTTTTTAAACCTCTTTTACCTCCATTAGCTTTAGGTTTGGTTATTTCACGGTAAGAAAATTGTTCCTAAGGACAAATCTGCCTCAAGTAAGAAAGCCTGAACAATAGCTGTAGCTCCAGCAACACTGCTAATTCACTTCCACTGGATTTAAATGTTAATGATAGTGGGCATTCAGTACAAAACAACAACTAGAATGTTACATATCAGCACTGGGACAAGTGCATATTCTTTGTTGGGTGCTGCTGCACATCCTGGCCTCAAAACACACACTTTGTTTTTTAGTTTCAGCATCAGCAGATAGTTACAAAAAAGTGCTTAAAATCCTATTTATACAATTATGCCATGTTTCAAAAGTGTATTAAAGAAGATGAAACATAAGATCTGTTCTGGGTTTAAGAGACTCCAGCAAGTATGAGAAAATGCAAAGGTTGTTCATAAGCTTCATATATGTGATTAATGTTCAGGGACCTTTTAAAGTAGTATTTAAAGATCCCTGAAAAATTCCCCCCCAAAAATATTTTAGGCTAAATAAATTGTTTCTAATATGTTTTTTGTACAGACTGCATTGGAGTTTGTGTGGCCCGAAACAAGTCAGAGGTAAAGCCAATGTCAACCAAGCACGAGTGTTAAATATGAAATAGGGCTTTGACTCTCGCCTGACTTGACCTATATTTTCGAGCCAAGGGCATTTTGTCTGCTGCCCCACACATGAATATCAGCATGCATAGCTCTCCCTGCCCACCCATCACTTTCGAAGGCTGTTTTTGTTCGTTGTTGCGATAAGTGACAGAACTGCATTTTAAATGGACAGTGGGTTGAAAGGGAGGCATGGTGGTTTGAGCGGTGGGCCTGTCCAGTGAGCGGTGGTATTTGTGTGAGGGAGGAGCAGGGAGTTTGCTCTACTGCCAGCTGAGGAGAATAACAATGACTCCAGGCATAATCAGTTGTACACAGCCATGGCTCGCTGTGCTTTGATTTGAGACGGTTTCAAGAACAGCAACAAAACACATACACATGGCTTGAATATAAGGACATGGATGTATAGTATACAACAAAAACAGAAAAACCTGACAAAAAAAATGAATCCAGCACTGCAAAGCACAGGCATATGTAATATTCTTCTTTGATGTGATACAGCTGTAAAGACTAAACCTGGCCAATGACAAATATTTTAGACTGGTGTAGTTTGGCTGAAGTCAGTTTTGAAGTTATTGATTACTGATAAATGTTTATGTAAAAATAGGTAGATTGTTAGGATCACCATTTTCAAAAGATGCTTGAAGCTGTATATAAATAATCAGGGCTATAGATGTTAGTGTGTTACATTCAGGTGTTCTGCCATTACCGTGTTACGCAAAGGCAACTCGAGTCATTACATGGGATTGTATTTTGTTTCCCCAGTAAAAATGTAATGTACTACGTGTATAGAAAAATGGTGCCCTCTGTTTAAATAAACAGTGACACTCAAACATGTAGACAGTAAAAGGACAGTGGTGTCAATTTAGTTTAGGTTTACTATCTAAGTAATATAGCTGAATCATATGAAATAATTGGATTTTTTTGCCCAGTTGCCACCAATTTGCTGGGGATGTATTTGCATTTACACTGTCTTCTTTTTTTGCCATTACAGAGTACAGGTACTATGTAATGAAATGGTTTCTCTGCATTTGACCCATCCTAGTACCTAGTGCCTTGCTCAGGGACACCTCAGTAGCACTTGGTCTTGTCGGGACTTGAACTGGTGACCATCCAGTTGCCAAGCCAAGTCCCTATGGACTTCGCCACCACCACACACTTCTGGTGAAGATGCAGGTGCAAATGCAGTTTGAGCAATTGAGCATTGGATTGACCTCCAATACCATTTTGTGCAAGGAGAAACCTCCCTATGTTTATGTCGACATAAACACAGACCTACTCCGAGAGATATTAACCGTAGCATCGGATACAGAAAGGCACCAAGAGGAATCTGAATAGTTGACATGCAAACCCTTTGGATAAATGTCAAAAGCTGTAAAACATCTCTGCCTGCCTGCTAAAGAAAAGTCACTCAATGCCTCTTCTTATTCACACTTCCTTCCTGTACTCTACGTCTGATTTAAAACGTAGTGAAGATGAAGGCTCTTATGATCTGAATACGCAATAAGACTGTGCATTTGAAACACTGACTGCTGATTTTTCAATTCATCCTGCAGAGTCTAATGTAATGTTTTTGTTATGCGTTTTAGGTTTCCTCACACATTTTGTTGAGCAAAGCAAGGCCTCAAAGTCAAACATGCACACTAGCTGATTCTCCTCTGTTTCTTTGTGTTTACATTGATCTTGAAATGTACCCGCCACTAAAGGACTCTTATCTATTTGATTTGCATTGTAAACTCACAGTACAGCTCAAACCTTTATCTTTAGTTTGTCATCTTGACAGAAAACAGTTAAACGGATTTCGTTGTATCATGAAATACAATGTGATGCTACACGGTGCAGGTGGAGGTTAAACTATCTGGCTGACTACAGAACACTACACAGCTTTTTAAATGCACAAGCAGCATTTAGAAAAAGATGCATGGAGGACTGGACCTCGCATGCCAACCGGCATTAGTCAGCAACCCTGTCAGCTATGTGTGAGGTGTGAGGAGTGTGTGTGTGTGTGTGTGTGTGTGTGTGTGTGTGTGTGTGTGTGTGTGTTGTGTGTGTGTGTGTGTGTGTGTGTGTGTGTGTGTGTGTGTGTGTGTGTGTGTGTGTGCGTGCGTGCGTGCGTGCGTGCGTGCGTGTGTTTGTGTGTGTGTGTGTGTGAATTGACTTTCTATCTAAATCCCTATATCATGGCCTTTTAGGTTTATATAGCAATAAAATGGAAAGTAATCATCCTAATCCTGGATTCCTTTCCTCCCAAAAAGTATTTGGTTGCAAAGTTTTGGAGACGTAGATGCAAAACCGATCTCATTTGTCCTTTGCAGGACCTGACGAGGCATATTTAACAGAAAAACTATCCATCAACCCTGTGATACAAAATACATTTGAGATCATGGGAGAGTAAAAATCTGAAAAATGCAGATGTGCTAAGATTTTTGACAGAAAGACTATGGTGAGAAGTGTTACAGGAATGTAGATGAAAGTATTTTTCAATTACTGAAAAATAAATGTATATCAATGGGCATATTTTTGGACTTATTACAAAAACCGGGCAAGGGGACATACGGTGCTGATGTTTTTGTTTTGAGACAGACAGATTTGTATGTTGCATAGGAGCAATATAAAATGTATTACTGCTGCTCCTGGTTAGGGTTAAGTTCTCTTTTCTTCTTAATTTTTTCACTTCCCTTCTCTCTATTTGAGTTAAACATAAGATAAAATAGGATAAGATAAGATAAACCCTCATTGATCCCCATACGGAAATGCAGGTGTTTTAGCAGCAACAACAATAAGGTCAAGTTGAATTCAACACGTTTTAAAGTTGTAGAATGCTTCAGGCTCATTAGCAATCCGGGCAACCAATCTTTTTTACCTGATTCAACTTTCTTAATTGAAATTAAGAAAATCCTGAGATCACCCAAAACCATTTTGGACACTAACAGACATGTTGGCCTGTTTGCATTTCAAATGAACAAAGGTTATACAACTCTTCTTTTTACATCTACCTGGAGTGTTTCTAACAGCTTTACCACAGGTTTGGACTCTCTTCTGCACCACTTAGTGATGAATTATCCCAGAATAGTCCAAAGCTGCCACACTCCACTAGTCATGAGCCATGATGCAAGTGCTGTATAGGTGGTGGCAGGCTGCACTGCGCTCACTGTGAGACCCAGCCCTGCTCAAACAGCTCAGGCATCTTCACAGAGAACAAGACCCAATTATGGATCACAGTCTGTGTTATGGGCTGCCAGCATCATGAGAGAAAGTGGATGCTGAGCTGGTCATATGGCCTGGTACCAGGGAGCAGGGCTACACTCTCACTGACTGGCTGAGCAATGCAAAAGTGCACATTTCAAAGCACTGTTAATCATTTTTGATTGGTTTGGTTAATATAACCCATTACAGGTTAACGTTGGTGTGAAATTACAGCCTGGAAGTGCTTCAGATTTGTATCAGTCAATATTTCACTTCAAACTTAACGACTATAGCAGAAGCTAGTCGAGCAAAGTTATAGGATGATTTTTGGTTCAGAAAGCTCTACTGTTATATCGGCAAACATTTGTGATGAAAATAGTTTTTTTTCCCCACTTAAAATCAAACTGTTCTACTTTTTCAGATCAGAAGACGCAGACCCACACCTGCCACTTTAGTGGCATCCAGTGATCAATCATCACCTGGTAAGGTACACACGCATGCAAGCACACCCCCCCCCCCCCCCCCTCAGTAAGGTCTTTGTATTGATTTGCATTCTATATCTCAAAGCCTGGATCACATCTTTTTATTTGGATATCATCCGTTTTGGATTTCTGTTCTCAGTTACTTGCTACAATCTGAGGACATGGTCGAATTGATAAAGTCTTATTTTTTCCAAATGATCAAAGGTTTAAATCAAACCTACTGGTGAGTGAGCATACAGACAGAATAACAAATATATTCTTAACCAAGCACCACACAACAACAAGTTAGCCACAATATGCTTCACAATATTTCAGACATTTCTATTTCTTATTTGTATTTCTGTGATGCAGCATCTGAAGTCGTTTGCAGAAAATGAACTCTCCTGCTGCATTAGAGCAACAAAAACAGCTGTATGTGTGTGTGTCCTCTCATGGGATTTTAATGATCAAACACAAACGTGCCCCTCTCAAGATGTATCTTCTCTTGTGAGTGATCCGGTGGTTCCGTGCTTCTCTGCCTGCCGCTGCTGTGCTTTGCCATGAGTGTGTAATGTGACCCAAATTAATAGAAGATAAGCTGCTGAGATAAGGCGGTGAGTGTACATTTCCCAAGGTGAGAAAACAGATGGTATTTTTTATGACTTACTGAAAATTTGAAGCATTCTTGAGCATACCAGCAAAGACGGCTTAATATATAACTCACAGCATTTTATCTCTGAGAGTTGAGTGTTATTTTATCTTGAAAACAACTGTCCTTCTAATTGGGTGTGATTATTTCCTGGGATCTGTTCGCTTAATGTGTGTCTCTGCGTGTGAGTGTGACTACATGTGTCTGTGATTGATTCAGTAATTGGACTCTGAGCATGTGGAGTGTCTCACAGTCAACCTTGATCTCTGCATTAAAGTGCAGAGAACACCCTCAACAATCCTGCCTGCTTAGTAGTAAGTAGTAAGAGAGAAAAGAAGAAGAGACTTACAGTAAGATACATTAGCATTAAGTAGAGATCTATTTGAAGTGAAGGCATTGGAAAAAATAAACTGAGAAAAAGTATAGAAGATTACAAGAAAAGAGGATGTTTATTTTAATAATATATATATTAGGTCATATTCATTTTACACGAGGTTTAAACTTAACCCTGTCCCTTATTTGTTGTTGTTTTGTGTTCTGTCTGAAAATAAATGATGAATCTTGAGTGCGTCTCAAAAAAGCCATGCCATGGAAATATTCTGAAGACAAAAACAATCAAGCATCAAATCTGAAACAGAGATCGACCAGAGACCCAGACAGTGTGAGAGAGAAGGGGGATTGGGAGGAAGAGTTCATGATGATGATGAGGGAGATGATGAGGGAGATGAGCTGTGCTGGTGCGGTAATGGTGTGCTCCACATGAGACAGAGCCCTGCCGATTGCTCTGTCCTGTGCACTGTGAACCCTAATAGCATATCTGAGTAAAGCAACAGATGTACAGGCAACTTAAAAGCAGGCTGTGGGCTTAATAATGAGGAATCAGAAATAGTTAGAATTGGTCTGATTTGATCTTCCCTAAAGAGGAAAAGTCAGGTCTTCAAGATAAAAAAACACTTTTTAAAAGGTATTTTATTATACAACCTGAAACATGACGAGCCTCTGTTTTGGTATTTGCATTTCCTGATGAGCTGCAGCAGTGCACCACACGTGAACTACTAATGGCTCAGAAAACTATCACGTTAAGTTGTGTTCTTACAGTGAGACGCTTCATCTCTACAGCAGCAGCAGCAGCAGCAGCAGCAGCAGCAGCAGCTCTGTGGGGGGGGGGCGAGCACGGCCATCTGAAACACTTTGGCATATAAAGAATTGAAGTAGATGTTACATTATTGCAAATAGCGTCGACATTGGCATTGATACATGTAGGGAAAAAAACGATGTTTTACACTAAATGTATGATGAAAGTGTTCATTTATTTTCAAATGTATGCTGCATTGGTTATATCTGATTTTCTTCTGCCAAGCAAACTGCTGTCTCATCTTTCTAAATCTTTAAGTAACTTTAATGTACATGTGCAAGACTGCAGGACTGAAAATATAAATTGACACCATGCTTCAGGCAGCCAAATTAGAGCGCCTTGGCTGAATAAGGAGTCAGAAGAGTGTCTCTGTTCTCATCTGGCTTTGTGTCAGACAGCCAGTCCGCTGGGAGTTGCAGTGATAGACTCATCACTGCTGGAACAGCCTCTTTTCTCTCATTGTGCAGCACAGATGGGCTCGATAAACAAAGAAAACAATCTGAAAATCTTCCGTGTGAAAGCCCAATTTAATGTTTGTGACCCAAATGATATTTCAAGTATGTTATCTACTCTGCTCCTGTTACTACTACTCTCAGTTGTAACAAAGTCTGTTTTTTAAATGAAAGAACAGCTGCTTACTGTAATAAGCTGTTATGTCCCTATCTGGAGTATTTTGATCCAAATTCATTATTAGGGTCAAAACACCTTGTACTTTAATTACAATACTCTCTTACTCGGTGGTATTTAAAAGCCTCATAAAACTGCAGATAAAACTGCTACCATTACAGGAGGGGAACGGGTTTTGCTATATATTATTCATACAAGAAGATACAATAAAAAACCAACACAATTATTAGCTAATGATCTGTTAATGTCAAAAACAGATTAAAGCAATGAAAAAAGTGAAGTTTAAACTACAACTTAATACGCTAACAATAATCACTACACAACAATGGCATGTATTCAATAACATATATCCTATACCTACTCTAAAGAATATTATGCATATACTTGATACACATGCATCTTTTCATATACAGAAACACTTAATTTTTTATTTAAAATGAAAGTGTACTATCATTTTTTTCCTTTGTTTATTAGTAAGAATTCATGTCCCATCATCATCATTCCATAAGTTTACCCCATTTAGTGTAATGCTTTTTAAACACATACTTACACGTTTAAATTATGCTGTCTTTTTGCAAATAACTAACTTTGGCACTCCTTGCGAGAAACTCTAATTTCAGAGTTATATAGTTTGGCAGCTGGTGTCAAATACCAGATAACAAGTCTTAAACTTGACTCTGTAACTTGAAGGATAGTCTAATAATGGCCCATTTCCCGGGATTGATTTGAACCAAGATGTATGAACTCCCGGGAGATGCTGAACATAAGATTCAGTTTCGAGCATTGCGGCGCGAAGAGATTAATCCCTCTTGAAATTAACGACTTTAGTGTTAGGGTTTAATATACCGCTGGGTTTGTGTTTGGTGCAGAGAGAGAGAGAGAGAGAGAGAGAGAGAGAGAGAGAGAGAGAGAGAGAGAGAGAGAGAGAGAGAGAGAGAGAGAGAGAGAGAGAGAGAAACAAGCACATCACTGGCATTTCGAACAGCCTTGCACATACTTTTAAGTAGAAATAATATATGCACACACACACTCACACACTCACAGTGCCTTCCTAGTGCCTGGGGATGCATAGGTTGCCAAGCAACACGGTTATGTCCTAGAAAAAAAGTTACGAGGCTGAAAAGGCAGAGTTGGCTGCAGGTTCAACGCATCACTACTGATCGCGGTTAATGGTTTCACTGTAATCCAGTAAACTGTCTTTATGTTTCTATTTTAGTCCTCTCTCATATAGTGAACACAGAGTCCTGTTTCACATATCGACTACGGATGATAAATCTTTATCCAGTGGGAGTCACATGAGCTTTACGTGGGTGAAGCATCATGTGGGAGTTTCCTTCTTTAGCTAAAAAAGTACATGATTGCTTTAACATGCAGTGCAGTTTATCGGTAAACCTAGCCAAAATGAATGCAGACATACTGCCAAAAAACAGTATTGCAATACATAGAGAGTATTTTTTAGCCTATCTCAGTGATATAAATAGGCTGGACAAAATAATAGAAACACTTACAACGTGACATGAAGGTACTGTTGTATTTGTTTTGGCCAAGTGTACCTAAACACTGCCAACTGACTGTAAATCAAATAAGCCCCAGACTGTATTTCAGTATGCTACACACCTACTCTGCCATTGGGAGTTTGGGATAAACACTGTATTACTGTTTAATCATCAGCAGTTAGCTGCATGAGGAGGTTTAAAAAGATGAGTGGATTAGCATCCTCTTTGTTTGCAAACAAAAAGAGTAAGTTGTCACTCATCTAAGTGCTGAGTATGAAAAAATACATAATTCTGCCCACCATGCTTGATAAGATATGAGAAAACACTTAGTGCAGTGTGTCAGAAAACCATCTGGCCAGAGGTCACCTTCGCTCTCTGGAGACACAGCAGCTACACTGACATACTGAACAGGTCAACTGTGCTATTATTCACATTATTCAGTCTGCCCAATATCAACCTGTTTATTCAGTTTTTGCTTTAAATCCCCTATTTTTTGTGTTTTATTGTTTTAATAATAATAATAATAATAATCCTTATATTTATTATAGCGCTTTATCAAAGACTCTCAAAGCGCTTTACAAATACACATTACACATACAGATCATACATGTAATGGTCATCTACTGTGGACAATACCCACAGGAGCAAATTCGGGTGAAGTGTCTTGCCCAAGGACACAACGGCCTGACGCAGTGGGGCGGGAGTGGGTTTCGAACTGGAGTTCCCCAACGCCCCCTTGATCTGATGATCAAACGCACAGAACACTGCGTCACCCGTTTAAGTACTTAACAGATTGTTTGCTCTCTTGCAGAAATCGATGAAGATCGTCTCCCAAACCAGTTGTACAAGGTAATTTAATTTAGTTATTTTTGTCTTGTCCTTTTTTAACTTAGTTCACTGTGTATTGAAATAATCTCCTTCATTTTAGTGCTCTCTGTCAGCTGATATAACACATTGATGTTTTACAGGCAGCCTTGTTGAACTCCCCTCGACAACGGAGAAAAGGGCAAAAGGGAAACCCTACCATGAAAGGTAGAGTCGGTCATCTAGCTTTATGTGTGATGTTGACATTTTATGTGTTCAATCTCAATAAATATAGAAACCTGGTTAGAAAACGGTGGTGATGATTAAGGCAGCTGTCTTTATTCAGAATACTAAAGTCACGCATGTCAGGTCAAATTGAGCATATGTTCAAATTAAAAATAAAACTTGGAAGAGACATCTTGAATAAAAATATGATGAATCCAAATTATATAACCAGCTGGAAAATCCTAAAAAAATATAAAGCGAAAAACCAAAAGTCATACGTAATGCAGTGTCAATAGTATTTTAAGAAAAACGTTTTATAAAGGCCAACCTATCTTTAATGGGACAAAGCTAGTGTGTCCAATAAGAGTCTAAGTATCAGATGTCAGGAAATGTAAACTTATTAGGAGAAGCTGAGCTAATGGAAGTCTGGTTTACCCTGAGTGTCCGATTTCTACCTCAAGCCAATTAGAGCTTCAATTGCCTAGGCAAGGACTCATTGTCCCCTATCGCCTAACAAGAATATGTCCAAATGTTCATGTCTTTAACTAAACAAGTGGGCCTGTTTGAGATTAGGACATTTGATACCCTGCCCACCTAAAGCAAACCCGAAGTACAAACTAAAGAAAAGCACAAAGCCGGATAAGAGATGAACTACTGGAATAAAATCTGTAGGCCGTTTGCAAATATTATCTTCAGTATCAATTTCCAATTAAGTACAAATACAGAATGTAATAATTCATGCAGGACTGCAGAAAGATAAGTTCAAACAAACAACAGAAGCAAAGGAATAATGAATAAATCTGAAGCGCTAAAATGTTAATTTATTTATTAATTAACATTTCCAAGTGTGATGAGTCACTTCTTAGAGGAAATCAGGGTGATGATCATTTCACTTTAGTTTCACACAGTAGGGAGAATAACAAACTGTGGATGAATGAGGTACAAGAATGCAATTAAACTAATACAATCCCAACTCTGATGTATCTTTACCTGCCCCCACAGCTGGGTGTTGTTTAAACTTTGCTGGTTTATTCAAATGCTTAACCTATACAATATTTGGTTTAAGTGTTGGATTTCCACCTCCATCTCTCTTTCATGGTTACTGTTCATACCCCGTCTATTCCATGAGTTCCCTTCCCTCTTCATCCAGTTTCCTGTCTAGCTCCTTCTTCTACAAACATTTCCCAAATGATTTGGTGCTTTTCACTTTCAGTCTCCACTATTTCTTCCATCCACTCCTTAACCCTCTGATCTTCCCCTCTCCTTCCTGTATCAACGCTTTCCTCCCAACCAACTTGTATTTCCCTGATCTCTCACCTCTCTTATCTCCACGTCTCTCCTCACAGAGCTTCAGTTTATGGTGGAGCACCACCTGTACAGGCAGCAGCAGGGGGGGGGGGACGAGTGCTCCTCAGAGAGCTACCTGTCGGATCGTCCCAGCCCCGACTCATTCCCCCCCGGGGAGGAGCTCCCACATGACGATGAGGCCACTGCAGAGGCCACTGCAGAGGCCTTTGAGAAACTGCGCTGCCAAATGGAAGGTATGTTTGGAGTCTGTGAAGAAGAGGATTTCATTTGCAACTGTCTACTCAGCAATACATCTCCTTAAACCAAATACAATAATGGCTTACTCTCAAAAGACACTGCAACTTACAATTTAGCTGGGTTGGAGGAAGTACTAGGTTCCAATACAACAATGTTGAAATACCACATTACAAAGTCCTGCAAAAATAAGCTTACAAGAAGAGATGTAAAATAAAAAGTATTAAAAGATTGACATAGATGTTGATGATACAATGAAAGAGAGCAGATGGAAGGCGAGGAAAGAGGGAGAAAAAGCTTAGTGAAATATTTTAAGGTAAATGGATGAAACCAAATACAGCTTATACATTTTAAGGTTGTAAAAAGAGGAAAAAAAAGAGGAGAATCAAAAGAAGTTAAACAAAGGTTTCTGGGAAATGGAAAGGAACACTTATGCTTATTCGCTTTCTGGCAGAACATTGGATCAACACCACACACCAACTTTTACATGCTAAATTATGAAGCTACGGCCAACAGCCCACTGTCTTATCTTTACATAAAGACATATCAGAAACAATTACAAGAACAATCCAACCAAGAACCTAAAAAGCTCACAATTGAAGTTTTTTTAAATTTGTTTTATCCACAAAAAAATGGGTACCACTTTACAATAAGACTACCCTTATAAAGGATTCATAAAGGGTTTATAATTAGTTTATGAATTATGTTGTAAACACTTTATTAATCATTAAGAACCATTTATAAACCAGTTCTAACATAGTGTGTTACATCAACACAGGCTCACTATTTGGCTAGATGACTAAGCCTTATATTGGCTACTTAGCGAGAATCAACTCAGTGAGCAACAGATACCAAGGATGCTGGCTGATGAAGGCCATTTCTCAATGTCGAGTAAACCTAAAAACCTAACCGAAGAAGACGAAGTAAGCTAGGTAGCCAATATAAGGCTTAGCAGTACAGATAAATGTGGGCTCACTATTCGGCAAGCAACCGGTCACAGTTGGCCTGTTTATCTCATGTCATATAAAAGCTTATTAATAATCAGTAAAATGGCAAAGCCAGCATTACTTGAATGTGCGTGTTTGACATTTTTATACTTTTTGTGCAGATTAAAGAAATAACATTATGTTATTAAATGCCAGAGGAGCTGGTGCATGGACCTTTGTTGCTTTGCGAGCTATTTCCCCCCATGTTTTATGTTTATGCTAAGCTAAGCAAATCGACTGCAGTTCATTTTTAGCATGCAGACATACAGTATCAAAGCTCTGCCAGAAAGTGAATAATTCCTTTAATGATTACACTAAGATGGTTCAAAGGGCTGTCTTGGCAGGAACTGTCTTTTCACTTTGCCAAACACTTCAGCAGCTGATGGGGAAAAAAGAGCATCAGCTTTTTTAGCTTAGGCCAAATAATTCACTTTAATGGCAGGTCAGAGAGGACAGCACATACTGCACACACATTCAGTAATTACTCAGCACTAATGCATCATGAGGGCTGCCTTTCTGAAGTGCAAACATAATTTGTGTTAATGTTTTTATCTATTTTTATTTTTAAAAAACGCTCCATATAACAAGAGAACTAGGTTTTGTATGTCTTGCTTCATAGGTGCTAATATAGTTTCCCTGTACAGATAAAAAGGAGCAAAGGGGAAACTAGGGGAAACCATTAATGACCATTAACACTAGTCCATTGGAGTGGTGGTTTCACTTATAGACCAGCCTTTTAAATTCACTCGGCATGATTAAAAAAACGCAAAAGAAAAAGCAGTGAAGTTCATTACTTTAACATTATTTAACAGAAGATATTGGAGTATTCTATTCACACATCTGTATGGTGGAAAGTAAAGCTTTCTCTCTTCACCTTCAAGATGTCCTGTATTTGTATCTCTGTCCCCTGCAGAGTTCTCGAGGGAAAGTCTCTCAGAAGCTGCTGGGGGGCTCGAGTGCCCTCTCTCCAAGGAGAAGGAGGATTGTTGTTCCAGCCTTGCCAACGTAGCAGATCCCTCATCACAACACATCAACGTGCAAGCAGGTAGAGTAAAGAGCCACGTTTACACAGGAACAGTTTCCCTCAGGGGACTCTTCATCATCTGTTCACTAGGCAGGGTTTATACTTATATAGATATGTAAACAGTTCAATAGGCTTGGCTTGGTGTAATGTAATCACGGCTTGTCGACAAACATAGTGGCTTTGATCCACACTTCACAAAGCCCTGCTGTGGCTGAAATACCCCGGGAGGCAGCTCATACGGAAGTGGAAAAATGTGTTAGCGGGGACTGATTTACTGTAGATTTTGTTTGTTTATTGACTTCTTTCTCTCAATATATGTGGCCTATAAACAAGAAAATTAAGTTTGTTATATAACAAATGAGTGCGTAACACAGTCTTCATTCAACTAAAATGTTTGTACTATAAATCCCAGCCATAATTGTCGCCATAAATCTAAATTATAAATAATGACTAACACACAAGTCACTTCATAAATAAGATTGAATGCACGATATGACCCAAAGATCTGTCCAAGTTAAAGTGAAATGCCAAAAATACTTCCTTCTACTGTAAAGTCAAAATAAATTAGTAGTAGTAGTAGTAGTAGTAGTAGTAGTAGTAGTAGTAGTAGTAGTAGTAGTAGTAGTAGTAGTAGTAGTAGTAGTAGTAAAAACAAGAAAAGGAACGGAAAGTTTACTTTTCTCATAAATTGGAGAAACAACCATCCCTATTGTAGGTAGTAGTATATGAATATATTAAGACTTAATATATATATCATAAAGTCTTCATAAATAGTCATTGTTTAGCCGCAAGACTCCAATAGATCCCCCACATCAGCCACTTGTCTTTATCTTATTGCCCCTAAGTGTTTTATGTCTCTGTCTATTTTTGCAGACACAAAAGCAGCAGCACCCAGTGCGAGTCAGCCAGCAGAGGAGAAGACAAAGAAATGCAGCCTGGAGAAAAAGAAATAGAGCGGTCTTCTGCACAACACAAAGCTGCTCAGCCAGCCGACACAATGAGATTGTGTCTGCAGATCCACTCTCTAGATACATCAGGGCATCCATGTTCCTCTACAAGTTAGGCCTTAGTAACCACACCAAGAACAACAACAAAGGTTTCGAAAATTATTTTGTGTGACGTATTTAATTAAAATCTATTTGTTTTAGCTTCCCCTTCACTGAACTAAAACTAGCTTATTGTATCTAGTTAATTAGAAAGAGAGACTTTTGCAATCTCAGTCCAACATTCAATTTAATTAACTTCTACACTCACATGCATTATGTCCCCTTTAATGTTCAAATGCAACACCTTTTCTGTTTGCAATAATTTTTAGACCGTTTTTCATCATTATATGTGCCATGACTCCAGCAATTATTGTTACATTCAAAGCAATACAAATGTATTTGAACCTCATAAATAACTGGGACCGAAACCAAAACATTGAACATTCAACTGAAGTGATTTAGTGAGGTAGATGCTGAATCTCCAGTGAGTGGGTATAGGCAACATCTAGGTTGGTTGACAGTTTAATGAAAACATATTTACACATGTGTTCACAATACTGTATTGGACATCTACAAATACATTCTTTAAGGAACACTGGAATAAAATTGCATGTTATTTTTTCTGCTACAGCATGTAGAGCTGCAAAGATTGGTCAATGCACTGATTGACAGAAAATGTATGGGTAACTATTTTGATAAAAGGGTATTGATTGACTTTTTAAAAGAATAAATGCAGACTGCTGGTCCAACAATATAACTCAATTTGAACTATAGGGAATTTTGAGAGGCATTTTTCACTATTTTCTGACAATTCATAGATAAAGCCATTCATCATGAGAATGATCATCAGAAACATTGAGCCTTGTAACCCTAACAGCATTGCACATCTGCTTAGTTTCCTGTGCTTAATTAAAAGAAAACAGAAACCTGAATGGAGAACTTGATACTTTTGTATAAGTGTGTTGGAACCTGGTTGGAACACGGTTCATTCAACCATCCATTCAAGATGGGGACCTTGTTTCAATACAGCCGATCAAATCTCTTCATTTTAATCCGTATTTGCATAAAGCATTATCAACATAACCATAACGCACCCTGCAACACAAAACAACCACCAAAACCTTGAACTACATACAGTTTCCTGGAAAACTCCCCTGAACATACAAACGTAAATGCATGTCTGACCCTAAACCAGCAGCTTGTTGAATGAGCGACCAAACAAACATTCACAGTTGAAAAGAGCACTGCCATCGCTAGTTTGGAGGTTAGCATGCTAATAAGCCGCTCAGTTGCAGCACATTATACAGCATGTCAACTTACTTTCCTGCGAGAGTCTGTCAGATGCTGGTGTTGTCCTTGCAATGAAGCCTGGACGTTAATCTATCCATGGTTATTTTCCAGCACTGCTGCCTACAAGTCTGCCCATCACATGTAGGCTACCATTTGTTTACTTGGTGAGGTCACCTGCTACTGCTGACAATCACAAACACACACCCCCATCTAATTACATTACATTACATGTCACTTGTTAGATTGCAATTTGGGGTGAAGTGTCTTGCCCAGGGGCACAACGACATGCTGACTGCAGTGGGGTTTGAACCTGTGACCCTCTGATCCGAATACCAACGCTCAACCCACTGCACCACACGCCATCTAATGAGAGGTAAAGGACTTTATCTTATATTTCCCCCAAAGACCTTTGAAAAAAATTAACTATTTACTACACGACTAAAAAACTGAACTTGTTAACATTATTTCTGACTGCAAACAGGAATAAATACAAGTGATTCCCGTCAGACTTCCAAGGAGGACATATTAATCTATGCTAATATCCAATTAACAAAATATCTGGTTAAAGTAGCTATCACACTCCTAATACAAGACTTTTACCAGCAACTGTGTAGTGGTAAACTTCTAATAGCTTTGGACAGAGGGTTGAGTCTAGTCGAGGTTTTATTTTAACTTAGCATTATCAGTGAGCAAATTGTATCATCATATTTGACACTTTTTGGAGAAATGAGAACCTGGTCACAAAACACTTTCCTGCATGGCACTGAACGTAGAGTGACTTTATTTTTATTATATTTAATTTTTTTATTGTACTATTGTTTTGAACAGGTCATTTCAACAAATTGTAATTACCAGCATTCCCTTTTCATTCTAGTTTTTTATGAAACAAGAAAATTATAAAGTCATCACCAAACTCTTACATCCTACATGTATTTCATCAGTTATTTGTTAGCACATAGTGACATTATTATGTAGAATTTGTGACAATCCTTCCATGACATGGAACATAGAAAGAAAGAAAAACTGTTAACAAACAGTAAGCTAATGCCACCCTAGTATTGATCACAACAAGCCAATGATCACAATGACAAAATGATTTAAAAAGATGGTAAAAACATTCCTGTGCAAGTTATTTTCTTCTTCTGCAGTGTATTTATGTAATGATTTTTTCTGTTTTTGAATGGTAATAATGTAATATGTAATTGTTCCAATTTTACTTGAAATGATTGATGATTACATATGTAATCTACATTTGTTTGATACAATAAAATGTTTAAATTGGTGATTGGTGGTCTTTCTCATACTTATTTACTTATTTTGGTACAGTCCATGGATTTTGCATCCAGTCAAGTTAAGAGCATGCTTCAAATCCTCAGCTCACAAGTCACGAGTGTCAAAAGACCATATACCATGATCCGCTTTCTTATTAAAAAAAAAACATCAAAAAGAGATATGTTTGCGGAAAGTCTTTAAGAATATCAAGTTAAACTTACAGTGTCTCACATCACTGCACCACTGGTCATGTGTTTTACATTGACTGTATACTAAAAATAGACACTCTGACAATACATAATTCAGTGACTCAGAGTTGGGAGTTAAAAACACATACATTTTTCATACAGAGGGCTGGTTCTCACAAAAATATGTGTACACTGCTGAAAGGTAGGCTATATTGGACATCAGACCTTTACGAGGTTAATCACTTACATTGCACAGTTTTCCTCTGACAAGAGGATATGCTGCAGCGTGTCCTGACTGTCAAAGCAGAACGTTTAAGTTTTTATTAATTTTCTATGTCAAATTGAAAGGCACTTCTATATTGGCTCCAAATAAAGGCTATCATACATGCTTTGTTGCTTTTGTAGTGTGATACTACCTCATAGACAATATGGAAAGTGCAAGTTCAAAGTGACACTATTGGTCCATTTCACTGTTTTGCATTTATATATTACATTACATATCATTTTGTAATATAGCTAGAGGTGTTTGTGTGTTGGGGGTCGGGGTGCAAGTGTGTGTATGGGGTGTACATTAAACAGTGGTATCACACCTGTGTCTTTATTCCTTTTGGTGTTATTAATTTTACAGCCACACTTTTCATTTAAATGTGGAACATCTTCATCTGTCTGTACTGTCCTAAGATGAAAAAAGCTGAAGATGCAATTACAAATTGCCTAACTGACAATTGTTAAACAAGGTAAATGTTTTTGAAGCTGATCCCATTGGGGATCACTTTGCTCTACAGCTCCTCCAGCTGGGAGAGCAGAGCACTGGAGTTATGCCACACCAGGAATGTGAGAGAGGGGCGCTTGATAATACGGCATGAATTACAAAGTTAAAGAAGGGTCTTACTAAAAACTATTTTATCTTGCATAAGGTGAAGTATGAGATCAAGGCAATGGATGGATTTGGAACTTTATAGTCAAAAAGTCTTGATTCATGCTACATTTATTTGAAAAATATTGATCTCTCCCTTATTAGACCGCCACAATAATAGCAATGCAGAACAGGTTTTGGAAAGAGACTTTAAATACCCAAATATACTTGCAAAAACATGTCCTTCTTAAGTTTGAAAGTGTTTCTAAAGTTACTGAAGTGTTAGGGCAATAGTAGTTAATAGTAGTAGTAATAATAGTTTTGGGTTGGTTGAAAAAGCCACTGAATGTACTGTAATTATCTTTTGGAGGACACAGAAAGGTAAAGGAAAATAATGAAAGACTTCATTATTTGACCCATTTAAAATGTTCTTAATAAAAATACAAGGCACAATATCGCACCATGACAAGGCCAGCCTTTATTGGGTTGTTTATTCTGTACACACTACATTTATTGTACGTATGTTTGTCAAGCAAGAGGAAACACCCTGTAGTTGCTCTCCCTAAGGTTGTTTTTTTAAATGTTTCACTCGTTTATTGGTGTTTTTACTGTTTCCGCTGTGAGGGTCTACGCACAGAGAATGTTGTTTGCTGTAGAGATTGTAAAACACCTAGTGACACATTTCTTTTTGTAATGTTGGACAATATAGTTAAAGTTTGCTTGAATTTATTGATTATAACAAATCAAAACTTCACATATGACAGACATCGGCATATTTTCAATATTGTTTTTTAATTAATAACATGATTTTATCATTTGTGTACAGTTCAAACTAATAAAGGTACAATGTTCCTTACAAGTGTATAGGTGGCAAATGAATTTATTATAATGCATGATACTGTATAACATGGCCAGCATGTACACTTTACATTTAAATGATCACAGTATACTTCACTTGAAATAAGACACCAAGACATTTGTTTGAATATATTGCATCTTACCTTGGGAAGATGATGTTAAGCCTAAACCAGCCCTCCTCTAGCTCCCTAAACCAAGATATAAGAAGGCTTTGTGGTTTTGTATCAAACAGTGACTCAGCATTAACCTCAGTTAACCTATGATAAAAGCAGATATCACAAAGAAAGTCCTGTCTACTGTTCTGAATCCGTAGTGGGGTCTTGCAGGGAGTTTTCTGACAGCTCCTCTTGCCTGGATCTCTGCCCTTTTGTCACACTGGGGTCTGAAAATCCTGGAGGATATAAGAGATTGGAAAAGGCATTGGAAAATGTTGTTAAGCTGAACAGGAAACAATATCTGTACCTACAATATTCATCTCCTCATGAGATGTGTTGTTTATTGATATCAGACAATCTACAGATACTACAGATTATTCAATTATGAATTAAATACTTCGTTTTGTTATTGCATTCAATTGTATAGTACTGTATCATGTCTGTATCACCTTTTGTTTCATTTGTATTTTCTTTGGTTTTACACGCTCGAAACAAATTAAATAAACTAAACTAAACTAAGATCACTTTGACATGAGTGTTGATAACAAATCAGATCAGGGCGACTGAGCACATTCATGGAGCTGAGTGGCTTTGTCTCGGCCAAATCAGTCACACAAGGTCTTGTACTTTAGCGGAGGTTGTCCAACTTTTCACAGGTCATCATTTCAAAAGAGAAAAGGAGAACAAAATATGTCTCAGGATTGTTAAATCGTAAGCCCTGTAGTGATAGGTGTGACTTAACAGAGTGCATACACATTCATAACATAAATGATTGAATAAGCAACATACCATTGGAGCCACTCTCCTTCCATTTTAGCTTGTTGTCTTCGGTGTGTCGTGTCCAGGTGGAGCGGAAGCTCACCAGCTCAGCTGTGATGTGAGCGAGACTCCACTGCAGACCCCTGGAGCTCTCCTTCCAAAGATTACTGTTGACAAAATACAGTGCGGTCAATCTCTGTTTAAGTTTTATCCATATTCATCTACCCATACGTTTTCTGGCTGGCCCCAGAAAGAAACTTGAATTTCAAAGAGTGACAGTTGACAATTTTTGCAGTTATAATGGTGGTCTATAGAGTCTTTCCTTTTTGGGCCATACATTGCAATATCACAAATGGGACAAACTAGCAATGGTGTGCAATGAGCAACCAGTATCAATCAATCAATCAATCAATCAACAACTTTATTAATCCCGCAAGGGGCAATTGGTTATGAGCAGCAGCTTATGTCATGTACACAAGCAGGAACATACAAGAAGAAAAACACACAGATACACCCGGGAGCACAGATGTGAATAATTCTAATTTACACTATAAATAGTTCAAAGCATCACAATAATAAATAAATAAATAAATAAATAATCAAGTTAAAAGCCTTTTCAAGAATTTAAAAGTTTGAGTGCAGAAGGGATGAATGATTTAGAAAAGCGATTAGTCCTTTGAGCAGGTAGTACAATTCTTCTCTGTGTGTTACCTGTGTCTGTTGCAGGGGTCTGGTGGGCCTGGGTTCTCTTCTACCAAAGGAATAACAATCTTTTCAGCCATGTCAGTCAGTAGAGAGAATGTGGGATACACGATGAAGTCTATGAAACCTGCAAGACAAAATGTCCATGTATCAACAGGAGAAAAATAAATATCTCTGAGATTTTTTAAATATGATTTAAAATGTAAAATGTAATACCACGGAAAAAGTAATACAGTGTTTTATAACATATTTCACAGCAGTTCCAGTTTGACTTTATCAAACAGAAGTATGGGTGTTGAAAAATGTCTCTTATATATTGTTAGTGAGAAGAAGACTGAGTGAGAGTGAGTGTTTTGTGAGACATACCAATCTGAGACTCGGCTACCAGGGTACTTTTTCGATCACACAGAGGAGAGAAGGGCAGGCCGAGCTCTGCCTCTCTATCACCCTCACAAAGATAGAAAGAGAGAGAGAAGATATCTTAAAGGGCATCCCACACATGAACTGAAAATAACTTGTAAAGGTTATTGGACTCCAACACTCCCCACCTGAGACTTTTAAAGCTACCATGCTTTTGTTTTTAAAAATAATAGAACAAACATTAAAGTGCCTTTTCAGAGTGGTTTCAAAGAGAAAAGGTTGCCCAACACCTCCTCTATTCTATTTTTTCAAGCTGTCAAAAAAGAGGAGAGAGGACTTTACTCTACATAGAAATGTATTGCTGCATTAACTGGAAATCAACTCAAGACTTAAAAATCAGCTTCACAAAACCAGCCACTATATGGCAAAAATCTGTAGGCTGGTATGATAATAATGGCATTTTTAAAGGTGATAAGAACACATTATTGACGATTTTATTCTGTGACTCACAAAACACACCTGGTTTAATGATGGCAACTCATGCTGAGCAGAAAAATCAGGCCAACAGTTGCACACATTTTTCCAAATGCATCCCGAACAATAAACCAAAAGCCTTGGGATAACCAGGGAGATTGCTGCATCATGCTTCATTTGATGTCTATCACAACTCAAAAGTAAAAAAATGTTTTCAAACGATCTCCTCTCAATATTTATTTAGTGAATGTTCTGGAGCAACAATCATTTCACCGAATTGATTATCAGTGGATTTTTTCTCCAGGCTTTAATCTTTAAAGAAAATCTATTGTAGCCTCAACTTCAGGAGGTACCTGTTCAATAAACGTCTAAAAGAGACTTATCTCTCTCCGTCTCTGCTACATACCTCAGGTGCTATTTTTGTTGTATACTGTATAGCTCTGACGTGTTAAACATCTTTGAAGGTTTCCCGCTCTCCCTTTCAGGCTTTGCTGAGGCTTTTACAAAATTGTACAGTTATTATTAGCAGTCCAACATCTTCAATCAAGGTAGCAAAATAACAGATCAAACTCTCCAGAATAGAAAAAGTTGGACAGAGTATGTGAAAGGAAAACCTCTCTGTACAATACCTCAGTAAAAAACACTCACAGCGAACCTTGACTGTACTAACGAAAAACACTTAGGCAACAATAACTCAAAAGCCATCTGTAGCACAAAAGATAGACCTACTAATGTTGGTCTTCAACTTCAACCAGGACGAGAGATTGTGTCGGTTGTATTTTACACAATTGTAAGTTATTTATGTAGTTCAGTCAGACAACTCACGTGTTTCTTAATGTGTTTATTAGAAGCAGCATATAGTTTGAGTTTGGCGTCTAGGCTCGGGCCTCATCACTCCACAGATTTACAAAGAACATTGAGTGATGATTAGATAACTATCCCCCGAGCCAGGTGGAAGCTGGGATGGAAGCTGGGGTGGTGGGGCAGGCGAGCAGCAGCAACATGAAACTGAACGTAGCAATAGCAAGTGAACGCAGCAGTGACAGCAGCAGCATCAAATCAAGTTTTATTTATATAGCACATTTATAAACGATGTTTGGTCGAGCCAAAGTGCTGTACATATAATAAAAATAGCCTACAGTAGAGACAGCACAGATTGTTCAGAATATCAGTATGAGAAAAAACGACAGCGACAGCATAGCGAGGCAGAGGCAGGAAGTCCTGGCAGCTTAAATAGAGCGGCATGTTTAGGAGAATGTGTTTGGTTGGTTGTAAGAGGAACGAAGTGCGTCACGTGTTAATGTATCATTGGTGCTCGAGTTGAGTTCATTTCTGCTTCACTACATTTTACAGCAAAAAAAATTACTTTTCACTTATACATTTAAGAGCTATAGTGTGGTTCATTTTCAAATAAAAATCGTACAAAACATGTATTACGTTTTTAAAATATGACCAATTCTAAGAGATTAAAGGTAGGATTACAGTGGCTCCATCTTGATGAACAAACAACATAGAAGTAGGCCTACCGCTTTCGCAGTTCATTAGTACACATACTGATCCAATACTGAAACAATAAACTGACAGTGGCCACTCTGCAGAATAACTATTATAACATTACATGTTAAATACAATTTTTTTGCTGATATTTGGGTACTTTCACTTTGAAGTTCGAAAGCATGACCTCTACTTGTAATAGAGCATTTTTATACTGCAGTATTTCTACTTTTACTTAAGTACAGTAAGTGTTCGATTATTTTTCCACTGAATCTAATCATTGATAATACTTGCACGAGAAAGTGTCACAGCATCAGTTCAGGTCTGTTGGCGCTCCTACCTGCCTGAAGAACTCCTCCATCAGGGATTTGGTCCAGCGAGAGTGCAGCACCCAGGGCTTGGATGGATGGCTGATGTCGGCCGTGTGCAGCAGCAGAGAAAGTGCTTTGGGCTTGTCAATCCTGTCGGAGGAAATGATGCACTTCTTGTTTTAGTTTTCTCAGACATGTCGTTAAAAGGAAAAAGAAGAAGACTTGACACTTGCTGGGAGGAAATCAATGTGCCACTTGGTGAAGGTTGTTTGAATCATCTGAACATGTTATTTCATGTGACCTCTTAAATGTGCACCACAGCACAACCCATTAGCGTTACCGTTCTTGTTGCTGAAGACAGGATTTCATCCCTTTGACTTGGAGCAGGTGGGAGGACATGTCCGTGGACAACACCATCTCAATGACAAGTGATCGCAGCTCCCTTAACAGCAACACACACAAAGACACACAGTTTAGCAGTTGATCTATTATAGGATGTAAATGTACAGAGGGTAACCTTTTTAGATTTCGTGAGGAATTGTACTGTTCCCATGGTAACGCTGACTGATAGAAAAAGCCTCACTTCAGCGGGATGCTGGTGTTTATCTTGAGGGATCCCTGCAAAGCGATGCCATTACATTAACAGTCACATATTGTATCTGAGATTAAACATCCGTCTCAATGAGTATGCAAAAACTGTTTAATACGTTTATATTTTCTGACAAACTGAATTTTAAGGGCAGAAATAGAATGTTTACATAAAAAGAAAACATGGGGAGAAAGCAAGCTGATACCAATATCGATCCATCAAAATTGATTTTCTTATTATTATTGATTGTTAACATGCATTACGTATGTAGTAAAGTAAATTATAAAACACAATGATGTAAGCTCACTGCAACCATGGAGTAAATATTACATTTGCCAGGAACTTTCAGCTGCTGTGAATATTAACACGATACAGCAAATCCTATTTAAATTACATTTGTTGATAATAAGAAACATTTAAATAAATCATATACAGTATATTATAGACTTTTTAAAATAATTTGATCACTATTTTTTTTCAAATAGCTTCCATCTTACTCGCTGCAGAAAGTGTTGTGATTTGCTTCCTTGTTGTTATTGTGGGAACCTCGGGAGGTTGTTGGCCCACATCTCTCATCTCTTTCTTTTTCAGTGAGTGAGTTGTCAGATTGCTCTTTGACAAAAAGCATGGTTGGTTACATTCAGTTATGTAGTTATATACATTGGGTTCTCAAAGAAAACTCGACATGCCATTTGTTCAAAATGCATGCTGGTCTATTGGGTTCATTTAAACCGCCTTTTCTAAGATGGGTTTCTCGCTGTTTTTATCATTGAGGATCATTTAGATATTTACTGTTTTAGATGGCCTAAAAGATCCCATGGCTATCAAACTTCATAGTCCTATTGTTAAAGAACTTAGTTTAACCACTCATCAACACGAACAATATAAACAAATGACAGGTCATTGTGTAAAGCATGATTAGAATATATAAAATGAAAGGGTTCGGTTCTTTAATTAGATCTTTCATTTGCATAGTGATGCCTATAATCAACCCTGAATGCAGCAATTCTCAAGAAAGTATTTGGTTAACAGTAATTGAAGCATATAGTTTAGATAAAACACTGAAGTTGTGCTTGCATTAGATTGGCACCCGCTGTTAAATTAATGCTTCACAATCAGTGGCTTATTCACTCTTGTGACACAAGCTCAAGCTGTGTCACATCTAATTGTATTAATACGGCCAATTTAATCTTCTTTCTCCTACTCCACACATCCCCGACTTCCTCCTGTGAAACTTCCTCTGATAGATTTTGGTTAAAAGTATTTTTCTTTATGTAAGATTTTCTTCAAAGAGTAAGTACGGGGGTTAAGTCTGACCGACATCCTGCTTTCTTTAGCCATTTAAAACCTATTTTTTCCAGATCAGCTAACTTTTTTTAATAAATGGTATGTCCCTGAACATGAGCGTTTCTAAATGGAACAAAAATGAGTTGTACAATTTGAGATAGTAAAAATAGTGTCCTCTTACATCCATTCCTCTCTTGTCAAATTAGTGAAGATGTTCATTCGGTCGTCCTGCAGCAGGCGAAACGCTGCACTCAGATGATGGCTTTCCTGTACCGACCGATCATTGTACATCAATGCAAAGTCTGACCTGGTGGATAGAGAACGAGCAAGAGACGAGGTGAAGAGAGAAGAAGAAGAGAGTTTACAGAGTGACAGTTGTACAATTCTCCAGTGGTGAAGGGAGATGGAGTTGAGAATTAGATAAAAAGAGTCCTGAGGGGATATTTCCAGACTGTGTAATGATGCTTTTAGAGAGCTGAAGAGGGAGTAGGATTTCATATAAATAACTCAGTATAGCAAGTTAATTAACTTATTTTCTCAATCAGGCATTCTGTGTCCACTAGTTTAATGGACTGTATTAGCCTTCTAAAATGGAAAACAAAGTACATCGTGAAAAGTTTTCCAATTAGTGATTATTTGAGTAAACTGAACATAAAATTCAACAGATGTAAAAATGTCTTTACAGAACACATTTAGTTTTGTGTTGAAATGGGCTTTTGGGGACTTTTAAAAGATTGGGGAGAGAGAGGCCATGATCATTTTGAATTTGTCATGGTTGCAATTGTTTTTAATGACAACAATAATTTACTGTTGGAGAAAAATCCGTCAAGTAAAACGTTATTTTACAGATCTGTAATTTCCTGGATGCTTTTAATTTGAAAATGAATTGAACATATTTACCAAACAATGTTACCGTGGGGACATTGTGAACAAACAAGTTCCTAAATACATATATTTTGTATTATAGGATGTGCGGTAGTTTCTATGATGTTTTTCAATTGCGTAAATGTGTGTATGCTGTGGCAATGTGGCATTGGTTAGATGTTAGCATCTTGTCGATCCTGTAAGGAAAGATTCATGCATAGTAAACATCTAGACTGCTACGAAGAAAACATTTTCTAATAGTTGATTAACTTTTAGTTTGTAGCATAAAAACCTTTACACTAACCCCCAGATGTTATCCTAAATCTTTTTAAATGTATTTATAAAAATAAGAATATATATATATTATTTGTTATGGGAAACTTATATTATTATTAGTTTTATTTTCTGCAAAATTGCATTCTTGCGCACAGTCAACAGGTCAAGCGACCTCCTGTGCATTGACTTAATGTGTCATCATAATAATAAGGTAATAAGAAATGTATCAATTTATTAATATCCTATTATCTTTTGATCACAACTAAGAAACATGTTAAGTTATGGTTGAAGATTAATATGAATTTAGAGCCACTCATCAGCTCCTTTTAAGGATTTTATTAAGATGTGCTCATGAAATAAACTCTTAAAGTAACAAACTTACATAAAAACAAGTAAAGGATTTTTTACTTTTGTACAAAGAAACTTCAAATTAAATCCAGTCTAGGTCTGCAGAATTATTCTATTCACAGCCTTACTCAGAGATTCAAAGCTTTCGAGGAGCACAATGCTGCACAAAATGAGACTGCTGATTAGGTCACATTTTCTTTAGAAATATCAGTGTTTGGAGCAGACTGTTGAGGTGGATAGTAATCCATTGCATGCCTCTGCAGAAGTGGACCTCGTTTCCAATTTAAAATCTGATTGTATCACGTTGCAGCATGCACTTCTTGATTCCAAACTGCTATTGAACAGTAAGAAAACCAAAGCAATGCTTTTTGCTCCCAAGTCAGCATCCTCTTGCCTCTCCATTGACACCCTTGATGGCGTCTCTGTTGAGTTTGTCGATACCTACAAATATCTGGGCTTTTGGTTGGACAGTAATCTGAACTTTAAACACCATATTGAAGTTCTAACAAAGAAAATGAAATTCACTCTTGGCCTCCTTTTCAGACTTACATTTAGTTTTTCAACTTCATCCCATAAAAGGTTTGTCTCTGGCTTATTCCTGTCCCAGCTGGACTACGGTGATACCATTTATAGATTTGCCATCCCACTGTTTTGGCCAAACTTGACCCACTCTACCATGCTGCACTGCGTTATGAAACTAGGACTCATCATTGCAAACTGTATAGCCTAACTGGATGGTCCTCACTTACTATGTGTTGGATGCAGCATTGGTTTTTATTAATGTATAAAGCCATTTTAGGTAAGCTTCCACTGTATACAGTATATGTGCCAGATTTGCTCCAGTTTGTGACTCTCACAACCTCAGATCCAGTGCCTGGATACGGTTCCAGGTTCCTGCTGTGCGGACTGAGGCTGGGAAAAGGAGTCTTTTTTATTATGGTCCTTGGTCTTGGAATGACCTTCAATCACGCCTCAAACTGAGGGCACTTGTCTCAATAGCATGTTTTAAATTGAAGTTGTCTGAAGTCCTTCCCACCAGCTGCTCTTGCAGTAATAAGTAGTGTACCTTTCTTACTGTCTAGTGTGCACAATGTAGTGACTGCTTTTTCATTCGTTATGTTCTCTGTATTTTATATGTTTGTGTTATGTGTAACCTTGCTGCCTTCTTGGCCAGATCAGCATTGAAAATGAGATTTTATCTCAATGCTTTTATCTGGTTAAATAAAGGTTAAATACAAAAAATGAAATAAAATAAAAACTAAAGACATTTAAAACCAACACAAATTAAAAATGACCAGAGTTAGTTAGTAAGAGCCAGTATTTCCAGGCTACATAGGTGCATGTTTGACACTGAGAAGATTTGTTTTGGGCGGAGTACAACCTTCAGGTTTAGACTGTGTAACCATGACAAGTTGTATTATTGTGGATGCTTATTATTCCCAAAATAAAGTATGATGATGATGATGATGATGATGATGATGATGTGTGCCAAGAGACTGCGTTCTTTAGCTGTCCTGTGTGAAAAAATGACATCTAAAAATACTGTGTTCCCTGCATGAAACAGTGTTTGCTTTAGAGCTCTCTCTCTCCCTCTCATACCCTTTTTCTAAAATTGCATCTCAAAAACACTAACATACTATTCCTACATTTCCTAATAATTTACAAAAGTCACAACAGGATGCGGGGTATATACAGCAGTTTTTTTTTTTAGATAAGGGTTGATAAAGAAGTTTAAAAAAAAGAGCTTACTTTGTGTGGATGTGGAAGTTGTTTGTGGTTCCCGTGTGTTCGTAGTCGTGAATGGCTGCAGCAAACAGTGACGCCATCACCTCAAGCTCTGTCAGCCAGTGCTTTATAGATGCAAGAGCAGAAAAAGAAAATCAATATCAAATGTGTAACAGGGTGCATATACTGTACTGTGGAAGAGACACAGTGTGTACAGTGTACAGTTGTATAGTAAACAAATCCTAACAAAACACCCAAACCAACAATGAATTGATCCTAGGGGTGGTTTTGAATCAAATCGTTAAAGTTAACAGGATATATTTTCTTCATGTAAATAAACATGATAACTATGAATTAAAGAGAAGTTTTATAGGACAGGGGTTGAATATGCATGCATTATAACAGAGAGTATTTCGCAAAAAGAATCACAACTCTAAAGCTGACCATAGTAGCCTACTATCTTTAAATATGTGCGTAATGACACACAGTCTTTCCTGGAAGATATTCATAGCTCCTGCGGTTGTTCACACCAAGTGAAACTAACAGGGGGCCGGACTGGCAGTTTAACAAATGGTTGGTTGTTGGTATTTTTATGGGATTTTAAGGAGAATATACGAAAACACTATCCTTGGAAATACAATTCAGCACCAAAAATAAGTGGATAAAAGTAAGCCAAATGTACCACGAGTCCAGAGCGCAGCAGCAGGCAGTGCAGCGTCTGCGTGACGTCAGCAGCATGAACGTGGCTGTGGTACGGGTTGTTGTGTTTGCAATATCCTCTCTCCAGTGCAGACAGGAACTCTGTGAGGCACGAGATTGGTATCTGCAAAGTGCATGACACAATTAGTTGTTCAAAGTCGTGTTTGAAAATTCAAGGTTCAGAAAGTTAGTGTCAACAATAACAGCCTGAATTGTGTCATAAGGTTGTGCGTGAGATTGACATGGCTAGCATGTGATTTGCACATCATTTGGCAACCTTTTGTTCCAAATTGATAATAAAACCCATATGCCTGATTATATCTGCAATTACAACACACTTTTTCCAAACAGCTGAGGTTACAAGGGCAAAAGTGTCATATAACTGTAATATTTTCCCTCCAAAGTACCGACATTGTTCTCTTTGTCCCATAACATAATTTCAGTCAGACAACTCACGTGTTTCTTTAACATGTTTATTAGAAGCAGCATATAGTTGAGTTTGGCGTCTAGGCTCGGGCCTCATCACTCCACAGATATAGCACGATGAGTAATGATTAAATTACTAACCCCCCGAGCCTACAGGTGGAAGCTGGGGTGGTGGTGGGGCAGGCAAGTAGCAGCGACGTGGAAGTAGCTGCAGCAATAGCAGCAGGAAGCAATGCATAGAGAGAGATCTGGCAGGTTAAATAGAGCGGCTTATTAAGGAGACTCTGTTTGGTTGGTTGTAGAGTTGCAAGGGGCATTATGTATGAATGCAGCATAAGTGCTCGAGTTGACTGCCTGAACTAGCTCGCAGGCTTCGCAACATGTATGGGAAGTGCACTTTTTAAGCTATGTAATGAAATCCAAAGTCAAACACCTTAAACCGGCTGTTGAGACCATATCTGGTGATCAGCTCAAAGAACAGAGTCTGCAGAGGGTGATCAGAACTGGCCGAGTTCAGAGCAAACACGTCAAAGTTCCAGCGGTCAACATCCTGAAAAAAAGGAGGAGAAAGTGACTGCGTTATTGATGCATACTTCTGGTGTGTACTGTATACGGTCCTTTTTGTGATGTCCGATTTATTGCACAAACACACGAGGCACAGAGAGATTTATTTGTGGAGGCTTACCCTGAGGCAGTTTACCACCGCGGCAGGTTGGTCTGGCATGGCTGCTGTGTAGGCCCTCTTGAACATCCTGAAATAATGCAATGTTTATGTTGAGTTCAGTTAAAGTTCAGATGTTGACATTGTGCAGCGAACTCGTCTTAGGAGCTGTTTATATAAATCCTCCAAAGTCCCTGTCCCCTTTGGAAGGATGTTTTAAAGAGAAAAGGGGCCTAATGTTTCACAATCCAGTGCAGCTGTCTGTGGTTTCTGTGGCTGTGATACTAGTAACAACGTTATGATCTTATATTAGAGTTATAGTACAGACGTGAAGATTAGTCATTTACAGTAGGAGTTTTATAGTATGAGATTATTGTTTCCCTATTTTAGTGTAATTAGGTCTCGTAATTAAAAACACATCGTTTCATTCCTAGCACTGTTACTTTTCCGCTGTAGCTGCTTTTTTACAGACAAGTATTCTTATAAATAGTACTGGCCTCGTCTAAAAAAGATCATAACCACATAGTGCTGAAAAGGAGATCACACCAACATATGTGTTATTTATTTTACCTCTCCACAAATATCCCAGCCTGCACTGCGTGTACAATACTGCGAAACTTGGGCTTCTCATCCGAGCGTCGTACAGGCCGCCGAACCCTCTGGGTAAAAGTAGACGCTAGCCAATCAGTGACCTCTGTAGGCACGCCGTCTGACTGTAACTGCTGGAGGTCATCCTCGGACTCCAGACACTGCCTGTGAGAGACAACACACAAACAAACAAACACACAAATACTAATTGTTAGACAGATGTTATAGCAGCGGAGTAATAGTAAAAAACTGAACTAAAGCACTGCAGGTGTCCAAAATCCCATATTTAATGCTATTCTATTTAAGAACCTTTTGGGCCTTTACCCCACAAGTTCAAAGTAACTATAGAGCTAAAACAGTTTGTATGTCAATTTACTCATCAGAAAATGTCAACATCATATTTTTCATCTATATCCTACCTTGATCCATCGTGGTAAACTGACTCCAGTAACGAAGCTGTGAGATCCAGATTTTTTTTTATTTCTTCAAAGTCGACATCTTTTTCCTCTAGCTGCTTCAAAATGCTCCTCAGTCTGTAAAAACAAACAATACAATAAAATAGCTGATGCCCTTTTTGAAATTAATCGAACTGCTGTTTCTTACTCTTCAAAACAGCAACTTTGTTGTGAAAATACAAGAGGTTACAGCAGTTTGGCATCAAAGTCTTCACTATAATTCAAACAGGGTAAAGAAAAAAGATCTTGAGTGGGTGAAGCAAGGTATGAGCAGGACTTCAAAAAGGTTGAGACATCCTGCTGAAAGCAAAGAGTTAATTTGGAAGTGATTTAAATGCCAAGCTGTCCAAAGAAAGCCAGTGGCAAGGGGGCATCATTAGTGCCACATTTTCCATGAGAGGAACATTTCCCATGGTTGAGGTCTTATGTAACCTTAATTTTGTCAAAGTGGGCTCCAAGAAAAAGTATGTTTTTGAAGTCTTGGCTGCAATCTGATCTTGTCTGAAAAAATGTTGCTCAATTTTAAACTTTAAAATCAAATTACGATAAAAAAAACAGTTGGAACAGAATAAATCTCCTGCAGCGTAATAAAAAGCAAATGCTTGGAGCACATGTCACCACAGTGAAACCCACCTGCAGCGTGTTAATGTAACCTCATTATGTTAATACATCTAAAAGCTTTCATAGCATCATACAGCTCTGATGAAGAATCTCATCCTCAGTTTATAGTGGAACCTTTCTGTTTTGATTGGGCTTTCTTTTTCCGCAGCCATTTAGAAAAAGACATTCATTTTATCTGATAACACATTAGTGCCACAGATCCTTTCAATATAAAAACATTTTGGTTTGTGTACGCTGCCGTGATCAGAGGGATTGTGTTCAAACTGCGCCAGGCCATGCTCCTGAGCCACAGCTTTTCAAGTCTTTATCACGCTGGCAAGGGCTTTCAAAAGCTGTTGAGTCATAAAAATAGCATGCATCTAAATGCCACCACTCACTTTCAATCTTAAGTAATCTTTTATGATAACACAGTCTTTCTTGTTTCGGAGCCTCTGAAAGGACGTGTACAGGAAATTACCCGTCAAGTGCACTCGTGAAACTTTGTTTATAGAGAGAAATGACAAATCCTCCTTTGGCTCAGACTTTGTTGAATCTAGACACTGCATAGTGTCATCCTTACTCGGAGCACTTACTATGTGTTGAAGAGTTTGAATGGTATCAGCTTTGTCAGCACAACAAGTGTTCTGTGTTAGAGTTAATTGTATTGAGAAACAAAGAAGTAAACACAAATTAAACCCTTATCTTGTTAGATCTAATCACCATCAAAATGCTATGATCTTTCATGGTACATTTTGAATGTGAAATGTGTGATTCTACTGCAAAAAATGACCCAAAATAATCAACGACTTTTCCGTTCTATACCCTGCAGACACTAATACTGCAATGTGTTAACCAAAACAAAACCACATGACCCATCACCTCTGCAGCACATTTCCTCCCACAGAAAAAGCACAAGTAAGATGAGTGTTCACACAAGCGCTGGCAGTGACAAGTGCTCTCATTCTGCTAAGTATAGCAAGGAAGAAAATCTTGTGAATGTATCAAATATGTAAAATCTCCTAAAAATTAAAAACAGGATACTTTGCAAGGTATGGATAAACTTCTCATTTAGTGACCTGCAACTGTGTCAACAAATCCACCCAGAGCCGCTGCATTATCTCTCATCAATGTGCTGTACAGGGTTTATTTTTTACTCGCATATTTCTATTGCTGCAAAACAAGAAAGCTCCTACATAACAGAATGTGATCAAGACAGCCTTAGTGCACCCAACAGTGATCAATCATTTTAAATGTAAGATGTAGCATATTCTGTAAAGTCCTTCAACATTAATAAGGTAGTCACAAAAAAGGCTGAACATAGATAGCTATGATATCATCTGTACATATAATTACCCCCTGTCTTACCTAGAGATGGGGATCTGCAGTCGTTTCTTACGAATTCGCACCAGTTCAGACATTCCACACTCACGCAGTGCCCTAATGGACCCCAGAGCTCAATAAAATAACAATAAAAGGATGAAAAAACTAAAATAATTCTGAAGAGTTGGAGGCAGAAAAGTTCTCTTAACCACCAGTGCAAACTTTGTGTGTCCTGAGACAGACTTCTGTTTCAACAGCTCTCCCACCCACTTCTGGGGGGACCTACTCCACTTCACTCTGATTGGCTGGGTAGTCCCAAACTGTGTCAGTGTGTGTGTGTATGTGTGTGTGTGTGTGTGTGTGTGTGTGTGTGTGTGTGTGTGTGTGTGTGTGTGTGTGTGTGTGTGTGTGTGTGTGTGTGTGTGTGTGTGTGTGTGTGTGTGTGTGTGTGTATTTAGGGGGGGGGGTTGTCAGAAAGTGAGTGTTTGTGTACATGTGTACACTCGTTGTGTGAAGTGTGAGTGAGTTGACATCACTCATGATGAAGTGTTGACTGCAAGGCTTTCAGGCCGCGTGTACTCAAATCCCCAATGAGAATTTTCCACCGCAGCCGCAAATTAGGGAACTACACAGAGTCTTTCACTGTAACCCACCAGAGTCCCTCGAACCAAAATACATAAACAAAGCTTGTCCTCGAGAGCCACCCACAACAGCCCGATGGGTGCTGTTCTTAAAACTGCATTGCAGAAAAAAGCACTTTAAATACATTTTCTTTGACTGCTTTGACAGGTTGCTCTTCTATTTCACTCATCTGCTTTGGCTCAAACAGATTCACAGAATTTGTAACGAAAAAATTAAATTAATTTGGTGTTTGAAGCGTCCTTTTTTACAAGAAACAAAACTGTAAGTGACAGAGCCAGTGTCAATGAAAAGTACAAAGATCATGTTCAAAATAGTTTTAATTTATTTGATCAATAAATTCCATCTAGGTGTTTTCTGAGTCACCAAAAAAAGGAAAGTACAGAAACTTACAAGGTCAGATGAGACAGTGAAAGGCTTCCATCCACACGTTTTTAGATCTAAGTCCTAAATTCATTACTAGTCTTTATTTATAGAGAAGCCTATTGTGAGAGCTGTGCTACAACGTGGCCTGCATGGGAAACCCCCTCTGCCTGCTGTCCACTCCCTCCCTGCTCGTCCTGCTTTGGCTGCTGGGTCAGACTGGCTCTCATGCTCCCATGCTCTTTGACTTATTGCAAATTTGAAGAGAAGTAGCATAACGACATATGATTCTCGATCTACTGTGCCACTTCAAGCTGTTTTGGTTTCAACCAAAGCAATGAGGAGAAAGAAAACAAGATGCAGAAATGTCCGAAAATGACTTACTCTCAATCATAATGTCATATGAGTTAAGATGTACATTAAAGACAATAAAAGATCAATTCATCTAGTGTCATTTTCCAATCCTCAAATGAATTTCCCTTTAAGTGGTTGCATCCTCTCGCTTTACACTTTTCGTTTTTGTTTCCATCCTCTCAGTCTGCCTCTGATGATGACGAGCCCTCTGATCTCTCTCTGTCCACTCTGACACCAGCCAATTATTACTCACTATATGCCCCACACATCAGAGAGAGACATCTGACTCTGTGGCACCATTCATCACAGAAATGAGACGTTTGTCTGCATGGGAACTAGATTACAGTTACAGAGAGTGAGGGTGCCGAGGGGCACATAGCGCGGTCATTCTTTGTTTTTACAACAGTGGAATCAAAAACATTTTTCCCAAGTTTTTTGACTGAAAAGGGTGATCAGAGGCCGACAAATGGCTTTTTCTAAATGTTTTGGTCTCTGATATGGCTAACCAAAAAAGCATAATTACATCAACTTCTATGGTTTTCAGTTTAGGATGAATCTTAATGAATTTGAGGATCCACTGACTTTCCCTTTACCGCCACCTTGAAGTACTGTAGACAATTTCGTTTTTTTAATGAAAACGTTGATCTAACGTTGAAGTATCATGATGAATTGTTATTACAGTAAGCAATCTCATACTTCCTATAAGCACACCATCAGGCCAATTTGTTGATTTATGACCAAACTCAAATAATGTTATTCTAATCAGCCTCAGCTGTACTTTTCCTTTTGTGCTTGTAAACAAAAGGTAGCATTCTGAAATACTAAACTGATTTGGGAACGTCATAATATTTTTTTGAAGAATATCAGCATGTTAACATCATCATAGCATGGTTTGATGCCAGCATTATAATGTAGCTTCTGGCAGCATACATCCTCCCAAAGCTGGATGGAGACTCTTGGAAGAACCGCAGAATATAAAACTCCATTCAACTGCATTTAAATGAGAAGTCATTATGTGGGTTAACTGAACCTTTAAGGTTCAAGTAATATAATTGAAATATTTTTGCAACACTGCCTTGATTAAATCATATACTTTTAACAAATCTAAACAATGACCCCAGAATAAAGTTAGAAAATCTGTCTCTGTAATTCTGGAGAACAAACTCTTTAAGAACCGAATATAAAAATACAGAATCCTAAGTACTATATCCAGGGGGGCATACAAAGTGTATTGCCAAAAAATACAGTGACACCTCACTGCAAGTACACCTTTTCTGTACATCCAATCTAACTCTGTGTCTTTATAGTCCACAACAAACTGAGGATGTTACTGAAAACTGAAGAGTAAGAGAAAGAAACCATTAAAGGCAGTCTTACCGTTCCACTGTGGTCCTGCATGTCACAGCACACAGGTGTCTATCAGCTGCTCTGTGTATCTTGCAAGTTGGTGTCATGACCCGTGGATTTGAACGCTGCTGAAGACCATGTGTGTGATTGGAAGTGTTAGACACAGAATGAGCTTTGTGCCTCTGTTTGTTCCTGTAAATCCAGCATGTGTCGTCGCTCCGAATGCGTGTATATAGTGCTGTAGTTTATGTTAATGTACGCTGCTCTGTGTTTACAGTGGCAGATACATCTAGTCCTTTCCTCTGTGTGTTTATATTGGATTTTGTAGTGTGTGTGTGTGCGTGCGTGCGTGCGTGCGTGCGTGCGTGTGTGTGTGTGTGTAATCCTCAGTGTCAGCAGGAGAGCCTCTGTGTCACCAACACAATCAGCAGAGAGTCTTTATATCAGGACCCGAGTTTCCACCATTAACTGTCCTCAGGGTCCTGGGACAGGATTCACTGTTTATTTAAATGTAACACATTACAGTATATCACGACCACAATTACTAAAATAAAAATGTATACTTTTAGATGACAATTTTTTTTTTTTTAAATATCATAAATTAAACACTTTACTTTAAAGGTGGGGTAGGTAATTTGCGCCAGAATTTGAAAATACACAGCCGGAACAAATCTGCCACTTCCTTACAGAGCCCCTCCTCCAACACACATGAACGCGCACATGACCAATGAGGGCACGAGATAAGTTTGTGCACAGATGGAAGGCTGACCACCTTTAAGTGCAGCTAAGTAAGCAGCATACACACAATTAATACAGTTTATAACACTTCACACTGTTGTTATATATGCATATTTAAGGACATTTTAAGTGTTTGCCTCCACGTATGGGTGTCTACAGGAGATGAATTTAATTATATCTGTTAACAACTACATTTGAGTTTTTTTTATATATGCTGGCTATTTGGTCTAAATAGGGGGGGGGGCTAAAATAAAGAGTAACTGTGACGTCAAATGCTGGCAATAAGGCAATAAGCAGGAAGGCAAACATCTTTGAAAGAGAAAATAAATGAAAGCAGCATTAAAGATCTCAGAAGAAGCATCAGTTTACATGTGGGGGGGGGGGGGGCACATGGGCAGCATGATGAAATAAAAATGAGCAAACCTCCCAACTGATATGTGGCTATTCCCTTGGTACACAACAGTCATTATACATTTTAAAAAAACTCCACAAACTGGATATCATTGTTTAGTTTTTACCATTAGTAGTTTACTACTAATTACTTAATATTATTTGTTTAGTTTTGACCATTATTAATTTTTACCTGGATAATATGTATTAGGCCCGTCTGTTTTTTCCCTGGGACTTTAGCCTTTTATAAACATGCACACTTATACTGTTTATGCATAAAGTGTGATTTAGTAATGTGCTGTTTTAAGTATCTGTCATTTATTTATTCATGAATGTCCAACTGCGTATTCATGTAAGTGTTGCCTGTGGTGGGAATCAAACCTCTTGTGAGAGGTCTGAGTCCCTCGGCCTTAGACGCTGGTGCCCTAAATACAACACAAACACACACACACACACACACACACACACACACACACACACACACACACACACACACACACACACACACACACACACACACACACACACACACACACACACACACACACACACACACACACACACACACACCACACACACACACAACCAACGGATCCCCAGTGTGGCAACCAATAGCTGCAGAACACTGTAGGGTGAGAAGGGAGGAGACGGAAGGAAAAGCATGAAGAGGTGCAGTACTCATTGCAAATAAAATAAACATAGGATAATCTATAATTATCAAAAGGGACTTTCGTTGTGCAAAACTTGAGTGCATCATTACATTTGAGCATGAAGAAAATGACTTTCATCCAAGGATAAAGGCTGGGAGGAGGGAGGATGGACTGGAAAAAGATGAGGAAAACTTGTTTCGATATATAGAACAGAAAGAAATCGAATATCATATCATCATGTTTATTGGTGAAATATTTGTAAGAACAAATGTTTTACAGCAACTTATTAAAATAATGATAAATCTTTATTTAACTTTATGTCATGGCACTGGTGTGTAAAATGAAAGAGTGATATATCAACATGTGTCGGATTTGCATTTAAATTATTCAAGCTGATTTTAGTAATACTACAGCAAATGTATAGTATAATACTGGCAGATAATAATAATAATAATAATAATAATAATACATTTGATTTCTAAGCGCTTTTTCGGGTCCTCAAAGACACTTTACAGTGGTGATAAAAAGGAAATAAAATAAAATATTAAAAGTTGAATTAAAATATTAAAACAGCAACACAACATAAGATTAGATTAGATAAGACCATAAAAGCATGTCTAGAGTTTGTAAAACAACACAAAACCACAGGAAGCTATGGTTAACTTGGTGGAAATGCATAGAAGTGTATGAAAAAGAGACTCAGGTCAATACAAACAAAATATGCAAGCATATTAAAATATAGTTTGGAAAAATATAGAATACATCAAAGAAATCCTCAGCCCAGAGTGACGATGAAGCTCCGGTACACCTCTCTGTAGGCGTTTCTGAGCAGGACATACGGGAAGCAGCTCTCCAGCATGTCCTGGCTCAAGAACGGAGACTCCTCCACTATCTGAGAAGGGCAGTGTTTAAAGGGTTAAAACAAAACCCAATACAAAATAAATAAATATATCTGCAGCAACCCCATTCACTTCTACTGAAGACATCGATCTTTAGGTCACTAATATACCGTTTTGTAAGTAATTGTACTAATACTGATAGGCGCATTGAGAACATGTCCCACACATAGGAGAAAAGAATGTTTTTGATGGGGACTATTTTCAGCGGTCGATAAGTTTGCATTTGGTGTCCTTATTTAAGGCAGGAGGACATTGCAAGTGTGATTGTCTCAAACTACAGCACCCTTGTTATCATTTTGAAGGAACATGTCACCTTGTGCAACAATGAGGCTAAATGATGTATTTTTAAGGGGAAGACAATTGAACAGACAATACTTGTTGGTGAGAACCATTCATTGCCAGTTTTGGTATTTCATTGTGATTTGTTGACAATACAAAAAAACATTTATTGTAATAATATAAACAAAATGTGCATGGTGATGACATTGCATTACACAAAAATCCTTTAATATTTGATGAGGATTTGGTTGTTTAATTTGTTTTGCACTTTCTCTACTTTAGTGTAAGCGGAGGTCTTTCTATTCTGGATATGGAAAAACCCTTCAAATAATTTGCAATTTTACTTCCACTTTAAGTTGAACATATTAACTCAATAGAGTTTATGAGTGTTCCTTAACGACTTCTTTGTTAATTATTCATTTATTAATGCTTTAAAGATAAGGGAAAAGCCATTATAGAAGGGGGGATGGATTATTATAGAGAGAAAACCTCTTAATGAAGGGTCATAGGTTTTCCCATTAGTCAATTCGTAAACCCACTTACGTCTTGTACATTTAAAAAACACAATTAGTATTGTGCTGGCAAACCTACCAAATGTAGGAGCAGGTAGACGGACTCTCGGTTTTTGCTCTCCATTCTTTCCACATTTTGTCCCAACTGAAGCAGAGTGGAGGAGGCCAGCTGTGGAATAACACAAAGTTAAAAAAGATCAAACGATTGAAATGTTTTTACTCTGTTGGACTCAACTGGAGCAAGGGTTGGCAGTGTGCTGAGAAAGCTAATGTGCCCCAGAAACAATTTAAAACCATTCTCTAGTGCTACTTGCCTCAAGTGGGAAAACGATCCAATATGTCACATGAAAAAGTATTATTTATGTATTTCTTTATTTATTCAAATAAGCATAATTGAACCCTTTAGGTCAATTGTTTACACCAATGAACCACAGTAAACTGATTTTTTGAAGCCAGAACATAACAATTGACGTTTTAAAAATGCAAAAGGTAGGAAACATAATACAGTGTTTGCTGCTCACCAGGAGAAACTCTTTGAGGTGCTGCTCTATGTTCTTGTTCTGGACGGTGAACATGGCAGCAGCCAGCTGGTTGATAGCAGTAGCTAAACAGTGGATGTTGTTGTTGTGACCTGAGAAAATAAAATCACAAAATTCAACACTGAAAAATAAAAAGAACAGAAAAGGCAGGTCCTGTAACTTTAGCCACGCAGAGGATGTTTTTGTGACCAGACAATTAGAGAAATGTACTGATCCGTAAAACTTAAGAGGAAGTGTACTGAGCGATCCTCAGGCTGAAAGGGTAGATCTATTTCCGACACGCCAATGGAAAATAGAGACAAAGAAAATGATCTGAGACAAACGCCACCCTGTGCTTTGATAGAAATCTTGGCTATTTGCTGCTCTTAATGTTGCAGTCCAGGCTTGGAGCCAAGCTGTTAGGGTCACCAGGGCCACATGCCAAGACTAACTGTATCAATGCACGTCAGCCAAACTTATCTGTAAACAAAAGTCTCTCAACAGAAACGTGCTTCTCGTTAACCAACATACTTGGGACCACGTCAGACGGACTGGAAAGTATGATGCACCGAGATGCTTATAAGCCTAATGTTTCAGGGTGGAGTACCTTCTTTATACCCTATCAGCAGCTGGTGAGTAATAGCTGGAAGAAGAAGCGATTAGTAGTGTGTTGAGGCCTCAAAAGCAGTGTGTAGCAGCTGAAAGTCAATGAATTGATATGCACCTCCATGCTCTCGGCTGTAGAAAGAGTTGGGGTCCAGGGCCAGGGTAGGCAGGGACACGGCGACGTACACCAGCAGCAGACAGGACAGCTTGTACTCCTCATCAACTGACGTGTTATCTGCAGGGTTTTCCAAGAAGACATTCAAATATGAAACAACACTCTCTTCCCGGTGACTAAGCCATTAGATCAAGCTGTCTACAGAAGTGGCACTAATAGTCTGAGTGTTACCTGTCTGCATATTGCTGATGGCTGTGACCAGGGCAGGATCAATATCACATGGAAAGCCTGCCGCAGAAGCCAGCTCGAAAACACTCAGAGTCACCTGTAAGATCACAAAGGATTAAATCAAGTGCAGAAGCTTCTTACATGAAGTGCAATTAAAAAGTAATGCATCATTTCAATTGTCCTAATTTAGCTTCTTTTTATTGCTGATAAAACAAGGTCGGTAGGATGTGCGTTGTGGATTTAATGTAGCAGCCACAAAAGTGACAAATTGTATATGTAATGACACTGAATCAGCATTGGGTGCCTTTTTCCTGACACACAG